CTGTATAGTCATATTATTTTAAATTGATTGATGAATGTTTTTTTTTTAATTTACTGTGTAATAAACCGACCTATATTCGCTTACAGATAACGCACTATAATGTTCAAAGTCATTGAATTTGAGACGGGGGAGCTGGAGGTGGTACCGACTTCATGGGTTAAAGGTGATCAGGTAAAAAAACTGTTCATATATATGCTGGACCAGCACTGCTGGTTAATAAACACATTATTTACTTACCATCACTATTTTTAGGTTTACTGGTGTAAGACGGCCAGGGCTTATGCCAAAAAAAATTTTGATCCTAAACCTTCATGGAAAATCTACAAATGTAAAACTCGATATAAAAACAACACCTTTGGTAAGACCCTTTTTAAACTTATATAATTTATTAAATTTTTTTTATATACTAGGTAGGTATATCCATATAATACACTTTTTTTCAGCTACTTATGAAGAGGCTTCCAAAAAATGCAATGTACTACTTTACAAAACTGACTCTTCTGAAACAAGTAGTGATGATTGTCGTAAAAAGAAGAACACTCAAGATTCAGACTATGAGTACTATAAAGATATAGATATTGATATTGATGATTTGCCAAGTTTATCGCCCTTAAGTGCAGCAGATAAAACCCTTACCCCGGAAAAACTGGTTGAAAAAGAGAAGAGTGCAGCAGATAAAATCCTCACTTCAGGAAAACCGGTTGAAAAAGAGAAGATTCAGTCAATTGCTAATGCCCAACCAACTAACAATGTTCAAACAGCGGTCGATGTTGAATCAACAGGTTTTGACAATAGCGATATCATCAATATGGCTAATATCACGTTTGAACCATTATGTAAATGTGAAGGTATAAAGGTTTTTTTTCCTTTATGGTTCCTTGGTAGTAAATTTTACTTCTCTCTTCTTCCCATTGAAGTCTAATCTAAATTAGATTAGATTATGTAATCTTAAATTTCGTTTACGGTTTTTTATTTCATTTTGTAGCAAATTTTTCTCAGGCTATTTATGTAACTATCGCATTAAAAAAAACATTTTTATGCTTAAAAATATTATAAAAAATATTGGTTATTTTTATGCACATATTTTTATTGTAACGGTTTTCCTCTTTTCAATGTAAAAGAAAGTTTTGCTAAAAAATTAAAACAACATATAGGATTAGAGATTGGACTTCAATTAGAGAAAGAAAATTTACTAAATAGGAACCTTAATGAGGATTCACTGATTAAAACTTCAATTTTAGAAGTGAAAACACTGATTAGTTCAGAATTGAACAAATTTAGATCGGAACTTAAAATTTTGAATGATGCTGTCAACCAAAATACGAAATTAATTGGTATGTAAAAAAATGTATTTTTTAAATATTTTTATTTTCTTAAAAGTTTTCATTAGTATGAAAATACCCAATTTATTTATTATTTTTATTGTATTAAATGTCTTTTTTGGAAATTAACAGCGGTTTTTATTAGGAAGAAACTTACAGTTATTTGTTTAAATTTCAGAGCGATTCATAATTCAAAGTAAACGGGAGTGGGAAACGGTTAAGATGTGTCTTCAACATATTAATTTGGAGAAACCACATTTAACAGTTAATCCGGAATCAGAGCAGTTGTTACAAGAATTAATTCCAGTGTCTTCTCTAGATGATCTAAAAATTTTGGAAGAAGTGCTAGAAGAAGAGGACAAAAAATCTTATTTGGTAAGATAAAATTAATATGTACTGGATGTTATATTTCAACAAGTTTTTTTGTAGATTTACAAATTAAAGCGAATTGGAGGTAAAGATGCTAAAACCACGCTTTCCAATATAATAAAATATTGTTTTACAATTGAAGCACAAAAAAAGTGTAATTGGATTGGTGCTAACAACAAGTTTAGTATTAAAAAAACTCATTTAGTTAGCGCTATTGTTCAGGTACTTCTGGAAACCCAGAATAATATTACACAAAGCGAAATTGAACAACAAATTAAATATATATTTCAACACACTTACGACCGAGCTAAATCAGGACAGGTAAATCTATATATATATTGATTAATATCCCCCGCCAATGACTGTCATGCCCAAATGATTTTTTCGCGTAGGTACCTGGTTACCAGGTACGCGACAATAGCTATTTGTGTATTAAGAGCGCAAAGTGATATATTGTCGCTATCTCGCGAGATCGGCAATGTCACTTTGCGCTCGAATTACACAGGATTTTTTCTACAACCGGTGTTTTTATACAAATTTTTAGTAACAATTAATAATTATTGGTAATCTCACAATCCACACAACAAGGTCTATTCGATCTCGTAGTAAAAATACTAAAAATCACTGCAACACTGCACATCATACGATGGCGGACATTTTTGTTGTTTACAATTCTTGTGCTTTGGGTTTGTACAGATTAATAATCGTTTTAAATGTTGAGACCTCAAAGTGGTGAAACAATCATTTTACTCCTCTTTTGTAAAAAATAAACCTTATTCTATCAAATGTCAATTTGAAGGTTAATTTGTGGGTTATAAATTAACCTTCAAATTGACATTTGACAGCCCTGTTAGAATAAGGTTTATTTTTTACAAAAGAGGAGTAAAATGATTGTTCTTACCACTTTGAGGTCTCTTTTAAGGCTTGCAAGTCTCTCTGTAAGAAACACAACGTTTAAAACGATTAATCTGTACAAACCCAAAGCACAAGAATTGTAAACAACAAAAATGTCTGCCATCTTATGATGTGCAGTGTTGCAGTGATTTTTAGTATTTTTACTACAAGATCGAACAGATCTTGTTGTGTGGATTGTTGGTAATCTCAAATTTTACTGTGTCAAAAGTCGCAGTGTATACTAGACGTTTCGTTATTATGGTTTTCATGGTAAGTTACCATTGGTAGGGAGCGTTTTGGTTACTTTGTCGCTCGGCGAGCGACAAAGTAAAGGAATGCTTGCTCCTCGGAAAAGTGCAAATTGTTTGCTTGGTTGTGAAAAAAATCATTTGGGCACGCATGCCATTGATTCTCCATCCCTGTTATGGACCCTATAGACAATATATTGTCTATACTATGCATTTTATTTCTTTTTGCAGAGAAATGAATTGAAAAAAAAATAGTGGTTTAAAGTGTCTAAAGATTCTATTTTTTTAAATTTTATTTTTTTTTGTATTTTTTTTAAGAACCTTTACAGACAGTTTTGTTTTATTTTAGAATACATATTTTGGTTTTTTTATGTCATTTTTATTTAATATTGTATTTTAGTTAATAGTTTATACATATATATGTATATCTGTACCTCAGAATAAAAAGTTATTAAGTCATACTATTGAAATTGTTCAAATTGTAACCGGAAAAAAATAAGTAATTATTTTAATATGCACCGAAAAAATATTAGTTTATTGCTGGAAAGTAAAATGGTATGGTTGATATTGATACTTTTAGATATAAAATTTTTAATAGAGTTAAAACTAACCATAACAATGGACAACACATTTTATTCTGAAGTACAGATGTAAATACACTATTATGTATGTAGTAGTATGTACTATATAACTATAGTTTGTATATTCTATTTTTATTTTGTTGTATTTTTTGAAATTTTATTTATTTGTGTATTTATTTAGCTACATACATATGTACCTACTTACATTTTTTAAATACATACTAAAGCATAAAGCGTTTTTTATTTATCAAAAACATCGTCCCCATTATCACATTAGGGTGTATCTGATATTTTACAATTTTCAGGAGAGCATTTTAAAAATTATACAAAAAAGTCTCCACATTTAATTTACATAATGATGTATAAAGGATGCATTGGATTTTTTTTGTATAATTTAAAATGCTTGCCTGAAAAATTGTAAAATATGAGATACACTCTTATGTGATAATGGGGACGATATCAGTCACTACTGCTGTAAAAGTTTTCGTGACAGATTCATCAATAATTCGTTACGCATTCGACAATAATTCGTTACGTATTCGACAATAACTCGTGACATATTCGTCATATCTTATTTGTTGCATGTTCGTCAATAATTTGTGACAAATTCGTTTAAGAATAGTAAATCGCAGTCGTTACAATTTCGATACTTCAAATTAGCGCGGTTTGGTCACTACTACGGTCACAGTTGCTGTTAAGATTTGAAGTCACGTAATTGTTTAAATAAATGAAAATAGCGACATATTCAGTCACGTTTTCGTTACTCAATGTTACCTGGGTATTAAATACCGTACAAATGTTTGAAATTCGAAACCTCGCATAGCACGCGAGCATATTTTAAACAGATATGTTGTGTTGACATAATATGACGAAAAGTCAATATTAATTAATTTTTAAAATTACCACCCCAAATAAAGCAGTAAAATCATCCAGAAAAAGAAGACAAATTTTGACAAAATAAAATCTACCTACTAAATAGTAAATTTTTGACTTAAGTTTTAAACATTTTTTGAAAAAAATTCAAAATTATATAACTCGCAGAATACCTAGTTAGGATTTTGAAATGAGTTGTACATATTTTTGTTGGAAATTAGCTGATCTACAAAAAATATTTCTTTGTTTTTTTATAAATGTAAGCGTTTCAAAGATAATCGCAACTAAACTTCAACTTAAACCGTTATTACAAAAATATTATAATATTTTTGTAATAACGACCGTAAATAATTGTATATAAATTTTTAGTATTCTATTCTAACCACTAGACCATACGGGATGTATGTATATACATAAAGAAAAACTTTTTTGTAGGTCAATTTTTTTTCCAAAGTTTTTTAAACCTTAAATATCTTTTAAATGGCTGTTTACGAAAAAAAACATAAGATAACTTTATTGTAGAGCATTCAATTCACTATCAAATTTTTTTAATCATCCTGATATAGTGTCCCAAAAAAGTTAAGATTTTGAAAATTTAATTTTCAAAATTAAAAGTCATCTGTAAAAAACTTTTTTATTTAACAAATTATACTTAACAATTCATTTATTAATCACAAAAATAAATAATTTAAACTCTTATTTATAAATGTAATTTATTTAAAAAATTCTGTAACCTCTTCCAATTCTCTTTCCCTGGCTTGTTCATGAGCCCATCTATCTTCAGCCAATTTGTCCGAAAGTGACCATTTGTAATGGTGTATTCGATGTCCACAGGTTGTACATTTTTTATTACCAAAGGGAGGCGTCTTCATGAACTTAAAAAAACACTCTTGATGAAACAAATGCCCACAGTACACTCTCTCGATGTGCTTTGGAGAATTTTCGTCAGAAACAAGGTCCTAAACAAATAAATAAATATTTAAATATCTAAAACGTTTATACCAAAACAAACAAAATAGGCTGTGTTACTGTCAAACTTTGACGTTTATACATAACCTTGCTCTAAAAAAGGAAGAAGAAGACTAACCTATACACTTACATTAGGATCCTTTGGGAAGCATAATTGATTGCACACTTGGCAATTTTCTTGCGGTAATCGCTTCACGCAGTCGATTAAAAATTGCACAGAGCCTTGTAACGAAGGTTTAGCTTGAAAAGGAGGCTCATTTGGTTTTTTCTTTAAAGGTGCCTCGACACATCTACGAGCCAACTCCTTAGCCTGACAAATCATGTGTTTGTTGAATATTGGGGAGAAATTCGTAACCACGTCTTGTAAACTGGAAAATAAATCATTAATGTTGTATGATGTGGTTAAAATTAGAACTTACTCAACACTTATTGTGGGATAATCGTCTGGGATTAAAATCTTACATGTCAAGTAATAACCATTGTTATTTACTTTTAAATATATACTGGAAGCTTTCTGCCTCAACTTAAACTCATCTTTATCGCTCAACTTCTTCTTTAAGACACTTATTTCGTCATAACAACACGACAGAGGGTTCTCCTCAATGAAGTTGCGTACAAACTTAATAACATTCAAAATCTGCGCTTTCCCTAGATATTTTTTAGTTTCAGATTCGCACACATCAGTCAACTTCTGCAGAAGCTTGTCGGATAGAGTTTTGCTCTTAAGTTCAAGTAAAATAGGGGTGTTGGGGTACTTTTCCGTGAATTGCATGCAAATTATGATTTTCTTGAATTCCGTGCGTTTTATTTCGACTCTGACCATGCTAAGCACGCATGAGACCAATTTAGAGCCGGGCACGACTTGCTCGCACAGTTTCTTGACTTCCTGGAGCTCATCTTCTATAAATCCCATGAAAGTTAGGCTATGTCGCTTAAAATGTAAGGTTATGTTAGGCAAAGTCCACGAAAAAGGATGCCGTTTACGAGGTTTTTAAATGATTTTAACGACGATTCGTGTCGGTTTCGGTGGATTTTGTGCCGATGCAAAATTCTTTTTGTCCGGAACCGTTTAAATAAGAGGTTTTATTTCAATGGCGTGCAGATGCGCCTGTTAAGATAGCAACCAAGATTACTTTGAAATTTGTAAGATGTGTGAAAATTAAATTTTGTTAATCCTTTTTTAATATATCGGCTTGCGCAATTACAGAAATTTATTTTATTGATTAAAATTCAATAAATCCTGAGTTTAAGGTACTTTTTAAAGTATTATCGTTGAGCGAACTGTAGTACTAAAGTAGTACTTTTTGAGTAGCTCAAATAAACCAACGTTGTCGGTTTGTGCTAAAATTCCCGGAATGCATTTTTTTGCACAGGCTTCTTTTTCTAAGGTTTATCTTTTTATCTGGACTGCGGCAACCTTACAAATTTAAGGTTTTGGTTTGTAAATACGGAACCAAAATTGATTAAAACAAACAAGTTGAGTCAATTTGTAGTTAAAAATGCAATTAATTTGGCTTTGGTGGTGCATATGCATTTACATAATAGTCCCACATTATCACTTTACACAACACTCACAACAGAACGATATATAACCTCTTTTTATTTTAATTCTTACTTAACTCATACCCTTTCTGGGAATTAAAGTAACTCTGAGTTTAATATAAACTCGAGGATCAAAATGAATTGAAAAACGCGAATTTAGTTAACTCCAAATTTAACTCGGGGTTTGAAGTTAAACCTCGGATTAAATCACATTGAAAAACTGGCCCTTAAAGGTTAGTCACATTTTGTTAAATATTTAGGAACGCATGGAAGTCGCCCAATATTTGAGAGACCTGGTGCAGGAACAATTTTTTCTGTGGTATATTTAAAAACGTATGGAAGTATCCGTAAACATGCATATATTTTTGGAAACTGGATTAAATAGGCTTTATTTTGACGTATAGGTAAAATCTTTTTTAAATAACATGACATTCATTTTCTTGAAATATGTATATAGGGTGTCACAGAATGGCGCACCACATTGAGATTATACCATAGACATGATTGACAGTTAAAATTAAGTCGTTTTTTCGCGTAAATACCATGAAATACTATGGTTATTAAACTTAACCTTGGTTAAGAGTTAAGGCATTTTTGCGTTTAGAGTGAGGTTCAAAAATCCTAACTATGACGTCACAAATACCACAATACTTATGTTCTGTGTACCAGACCATAAAACTAGTTATTCAACGTGGTTAACAGGGTTGGGTATCTACCTACATTTTTGTTTTCGACATGTAGAAAACCTTTTTCGACGTTTTCGACAGTAGAAAACGTAAAAAAGTAGAATACTGTCAAATATCAAAAAATGTGAGGTTATGCAAGTTTGTTGTTTATTATGATTTGTTAAATGTTGTGAAAAATCAGACACCTACCATAAATTTGAAGTTATTTGGAGTTTTTTAACATTATTATGGTGGGAAAAAAAGGGCCACGTTTGGTTGGGAGACCTCAACATAATTTTTGGCATGAGGGCAAATTTTTATCAATTATAGAGAAGTGGAAGGAGAAGGTCGAATAAGGTAATTTACGTAGGTAGAAAACCCTATTGGTTTTCGACGCAAGTCGAAAACAAGTTTTCTACCCTTTTCTACCAAGGTAAATTACCTAAGGTTTTCTACTGACCCAACCCTGGTGGTTAATAGTCGTTCTCTTTTTAATATATATTTTTCTCTGTTTCGATCTGTCAAAAAAGTTGTTTACATTTGAAATTTAAAATATTTTAAGTAGGTACAATTGCTCTTAAACCGAATTTAAACTTTGTATTAAAATGGTAAAGTAAAAATAAATGATAGGGTGCTACATATTGTAGAATCTCCACAAGTGGAGGAATTATATGCAGGTTTGTTGTAATATTCTTCCTTATTTTGTATTGAACATGTAGGAGAATTGGATAACGTGTATTGAAAAAACTAGTACCTATAGAAAAAGAATATACTAGGTATAAGAAGAGGCAAATATATTTATTTACACCGGTAAAAGCATAGAAATTAAATATAAATAGGTAAAAACACATTTCAAAAATTATAGGTTATGAACAAGTAAACAAATGTCAAATGTTAGAAACCTAACATGGTTATATGAATTAACTGTGACGTCATGACTTATTTAACCGTAGTATTACCTATTTACGCGAAAAAACGACTTTAGTGAGAAGTTATGAAATGTCAAATGTAATTTTTTAAAAGAATATCAAATGGGGTAGTTAAATTTTTTCTGACCTATACTTTTTATGGTTTTATTCAAGGCGTTTTGTAATATTAAACATTTCTGTGAAATCAGATTTTCAATTGAGTTTACCGTTTTCGAGATATTTACAAAAAATATAAATTTTTATGACGTCACAAACCTCGCCATGTGACCAACATTCTAAGATTTCTATACCATAAAAAGTATAGGTCAGAAAAAATTTAACTACATAATTGTAAAATAAATTCAGCAAAAAACCCAACTAAAATGGGCAAATTTATGTTACAATAAAAATAAAACACTTTTTAACAAAGGAACAACAAATTTATGAAATAAAAAAGTAAAAAAATATCGACGACTTCTGAGTATCGAACCCGGGACCTCTCGCATGCAAAGCAAACGCCCTACTACCTAAGCTATCTAGCTTGACAACAAATATTATATGTTCGGGGAACAAAACCGGATTATTATTATGACGTCACGTTATAAGGCGGTTCGTGCCAGCACGTGAGAAGTCGGGATCGATGTTGGGTCACCGACTAGAAGTTACTCGCAAAGAGTCGTCGTCGATGGTGGCCGTTGTCATTTCGACCGCCTTATCCTCAGAACATAATTATGTTAAGGCCTTATCGACGCCGCATCTCGAGGTACTTCTTCGACGAGTCGAAGAAGACGCGGCTCGATTCTTCCGCTTTGTCGTCGTCGAACGCGTCCCAGTCGGCGTAGACTTTCAAGCCGTAGTTGTCGCGCTGCTGCGCGCACGCGCTCAGCTTGCGCAGCGCGTCCGTCGTGCAGCCGTTGCACGGGGGACCCTTTTGACAAAAATATCGCGATTTTCGAGTGTAACTTCCGAACGGGAAGAGATACGAAAGTGCGGTTTGATTTTTTGGAATCAGCGTGCTCGAATTAGTAAGGAAAAATTATTTTTGCAACTTTTTTTTTCAAGTTTTTCAGAAAAAATGTCATAAGGGGGGACCCTTTTGACAAAAATATCGCGATTTTCAAGTGTAACTTCGAAACGGAAAGAGATACGAAAGTGCGGTTTGATTTTTTGGAATCAGCGTGCTCGAATTAGTAAGGAAAAATTATTTTTGCAACTTTTTTTTTCAAGTTTTTCAGAAAAAATGTCATAAGGGGGGACCCTTTTGAGAAAAATATCGCGATTTTCGAGTGTAACTTCGAAACGGAAAGAGATACGAAAGTGCGGTTTGATTTTTTGGAATCAGCGTGCTCGAATTAGTAAGGAAAAATTATTTTTGCAACTTTTTTTTTCTTGATTTTCAGAAAAAATGTCATAAGGGGGGACCCTTTTGAGAAAAATATCGCGATTTTCGAGTGTAACTTCCGAACGGAAAGAGATACGAAAGTGCGGTTTGATTTTTTGGAATCAGCGTGCTCGAATTAGTAAGGAAAAATTATTTTTGCAACTTTTTTTTTCTTGATTTTCAGAAAAAATGTCATAAGGGGGGACCCTTTTGAGAAAAATATCGCGATTTTCGAGTGTAACTTCGAAACGGAAAGAGATACGAAAGTGCGGTTTGATTTTTTGGAATCAGCGTGCTCGAATTAGTAAGGAAAAATTATTTTTGCAACTTTTTTTTTCTTGATTTTCAGAAAAAATGTCATAAGGGGGGACCCTTTTGAGAAAAATATCGCGATTTTCGAGTGTAACTTCCGAACGGAAAGAGATACGAAAGTGCGGTTTGATTTTTTGGAATCAGCGTGCTCGAATTAGTAAGGAAAAATTATTTTTGCAACTTTTTTTTTCTTGATTTTCAGAAAAAATGTCATAAGGGGGGACCCTTTTGAGAAAAATATCGCGATTTTCGAGTGTAACTTCCGAACGGGAAGAGATACGAAAGTGCGGTTTGATTTTTTGGAATCAGCGTGCTCGAATTAGTAAGGAAAAATTATTTTTGCAACTTTTTTTTTCTTGATTTTCAGAAAAAATGTCATAAGGGGGGACCCTTTTGAGAAAAATATCGCGATTTTCGAGTGTAACTTCGAAACGGAAAGAGATACGAAAGTGCGGTTTGATTTTTTGGAATCAGCGTGCTCGAATTAGTAAGGAAAAATTATTTTTGCAACTTTTTTTTTCTTGATTTTCAGAAAAAATGTCATAAGGGGGGACCCTTTTGAGAAAAATATCGCGATTTTCGAGTGTAACTTCGAAACGGAAAGAGATACGAAAGTGCGGTTTGATTTTTTGGAATCAGCGTGCTCGAATTAGTAAGGAAAAATTATTTTTGCAACTTTTTTTTTCTTGATTTTCAGAAAAAATGTCATAAGGGGGGACCCTTTTGAGAAAAATATCGCGATTTTCGAGTGTAACTTCGAAACGGAAAGAGATACGAAAGTGCGGTTTGATTTTTTGGAATCAGAAAAAATGTCATAAGGGGGGACCCTTTTGAGAAAAATATCGCGATTTTCGAGTGTAACTTCCGAACGGAAAGAGATACGAAAGTGCGGTTTGATTTTTTGGAATCAGCGTGCTCGAATTAGTAAGGAAAAATTATTTTTGCAACTTTTTTTTTCTTGATTTTCAGAAAAAATGTCATAAGGGGGGACCCTTTTGAGAAAAATATCGCGATTTTCGAGTGTAACTTCGAAACGGAAAGAGATACGAAAGTGCGGTTTGATTTTTTGGAATCAGCGTGCTCGAATTAGTAAGGAAAAATTATT